AGAATGAATTTCCCGTAGCTCTGGCTCTTTAATAATTGACCAGGAACGATACAAGGCGCGTAGGAAAATCACTCTGTTTACGGAGCAGCTGTTAAAGCACCGGCGACGATAATGGGCCGCATTTTGTCCGGTCGACCGGTGAATAATTCGCGAGTCAGGCAACAAAGACATCCCTATCCCGTCTGAAAGAAGCCACCGGCCAGAGTTTTTAGCCCGAGGGACAAAGAGCTCGTTAAGGATCGATCAAAATTTCACGTCGTCTCTTCTACCTCCTTTCAACCTTTCTCCTCTTCCCTCTTCTTCCCTCTACTCTCTCTCTCTCTCTTCCTCCTTTTTACTCGATAAGGAACGAGCTGTTCGGCAGAATTTGCCATTTATGACGTGTCTCCGCGGCCGTTAATGATCCCCTAGATAACTCGCAACGTGCGAATTTCCTCGAGGTGTGATCAAGTCTTGAAATATTCAACGTCCAATGAAATTTCAAACGAATTTATTTCCAGCTGTGTATGTTTAATGAAATTTGCCAACAATTTTACGGTATACGATAAGAAGAAACTGTGTTTGTTTTCCTTTTACGAAACTGTGTAGGTAAATGTTGTATTAGAATTTCGTTGAAACGGTGATAATTTTTTGGGTAGAGAGAAGGTGGCGAAGTTGTCAGTAATTATTCTCGAAAGAGAGAGTTAACGTTGGTTGAAGAAACAACTGGTTCTCGCGAGGGAGAAAGCGTTCCTCGTTCTTCAAGAAAATTAAGCCAATTAACCCCTCGAGCTCGAGACTTCCTTTCACCTGGCAACCGTCCAACGAGTCCCGGCTCACTTTGGCCCGTTTCTGAAAAACGTATTGTTCAAGAGGATGGCACAATGCGTCGTCGATGAAACTTCCGGACGATCGCTGTCGCTCGATTAAGACGACATCGAGCTGTTTGCGGTGTTTTCTGAACTCCGTGAGATAAAGTGTGTTTTAATCGAATTTGAGGAAAATTTATTTGGGAAAGTATTCTTCTTTCGTTTAATATTTTAGGGAGATTAAGGTGGCGAGAGTTCTTTGTAAAATATAGATACGGGTATCGCGAATTTTTGGGAAATCGTGTAAGGGTTCTGTGACGAAATAAATTTGGAAACCACTGCGCTATCTTTTCTTTTGCAAATTTCCGGTGGCTTCCATTTCTCTTCTCTCTCTGTAAAACATAGATATGGATTACGCGATTTTTTGGGAAATCGTGTAAGAGTTTCGTAACGAAGTAATTTTGGACACCACTGCACTATTATAACAAAAGGGTAACTTTTTTCCTTCACAGCGTCACACGACCGTCAACCCTTTCGCCACAGAACCATTCTCAACAATTCATCATTCATCCGCAACAGAAACTAAATCAAAATAAATCTTCACTCAAGAGAGCAAATGAAAGAAACTGAAAAATCCCCTCAGAAAGAGCTGCAGAGGAGCCGAAGAACACCGTTGCGCCAAAGGATCGACCGCAGGATCGAAACACGAACCGGAAGAGGACGTGGCGTATGGTTCAGGGTGGCACGTGATGTAACCATCGCAACGTAAACACGCAGCGTTTTCAACGGAATGTCAATATTCGACAGTTCAATTAATCCTCGATGTATCATCCCTGCGGGGAGCAGATGGAGGACACAATGTCCTCCATCTACCGGCTGCATTCCGGCCGTAGCGAAAACCGCCAACGCAATACACACACACACGAAGAGGAATAGAAACGAGGGAGAGAGAGAGAGAGAGAGAGAGAGAGAGCGAGGGATGGGGATGGTTACATGGCCGTATCCGGCGCGCAAGCCACGCGCGCTCCTACGTCGCTCGATATTGTCTCCTAGCAAGTGGCAGCGGGAAAATGCGCTTGACACTTATGAGGCTACATTTCTCGGAACCAGGCAGACACTCTCTCTGTGCTTTCCTCGTTTTCCGCGCCTTCCTCTCCTCTCCGCACGCTACTCTTCTCTTTTACAGTACGCCTGGAATGCAAGCGGGAGGAGAACTGCCAATGCGTCGTCCAGTATTATTCCTCCACTTTGCTTGTCGATAATATGTACAATCCTAGACAAAAGTTTCGGAATATTGTACGTTCCAAGACTCAGTGGGAATTGGTATGACAGCTTTTGTTGGAATTTGTTGAAATTATATGGGCAGTTGAGTAGATACGGTGGTTTGTTTTGTTGGGGACTATTGGATTGATTTGGATAGTGATACAATGAAATAGGGAGGTATTTGTTAAACTCTTTTTACGACTCAAAGTAATATACTTTGCAATCTTTCAGCGTGAAAATTCGAGTTTCAGAATTTTTTGTATATGGTGGAGCAGGTAAAAACAATTTGTACATACAATGAAACAAAGATTTACTTTTTTAATCCCTTTCATGGTTTTAATTAACACACTTTGCAATCTTTAACTAAGATTTATCATGAAAATTCATGTTTCAAAGTTTTTTGTATCTGGTATTGCAAATACAAACAATTTGTACATACAATGAAACAATGTCCTACTTTTCTATGGCTCAAATTAACATACTTTGCAATCTTTAGCAAAGATTTATCATGAAAATTCATGTTTCAAAGCTTTTTGTATCTGAGATTGCAAATACAAACAATTTGTACATACAATGAAACAAGGTCCTACTTTTCTATGGCTCAAATTAACATACTTTGCAATCTTTAGCAAAGATTTATAATGAAAATTCATGTTTCAAAGTTTTTTGTATGTGGTATTGCAAATACAAACAATTTGTACATACAATGAAACAAGGTCCTACTTTTCTATGGCTCAAATTAACATACTTTGCAATCTTTAGCAAAGATTTATCATGAAAATTCATGTTTCAAAGCTTTTTGTATCTGAGATTGCAAATACAAACAATTTGTACATACAATGAAACAAGGTCTTACTTTTCTATGGCTCAAATTAACATACTTTGCAATTTTTAGCAAAGATTTATTATGAAAATTCATGTTTCAAAGTTTTTTGTATGTGGTATTGCAAATACAAACAATTTGTACATACAATGAAACAAGGTCCTACTTTTCTATGGCTCAAATTAACATACTTTGCAATCTTTAGCAAAGATTTATCATGAAAATTCATGTTTCAAAGTTTTTTGTATCTGGTATTGCAAATACAAACAATTTGTACATACAATGAAACAAGGTCTTACTTTTCTATGGCTCAAATTATCATACTCTGCAATCTTCAACTAAGATTTATCGTAAAAATTCACGTTTCAAACTTTTCTGTATCTGATTTTGTACAATGAAACAAGGTCCTACTTTTCTATGGCTCAAATTAACATACTTTGCACTCTTTAGCAAATATTTATCATGAAAATGAACGTTTCAAAGCTTTTTGTATATGGTATTGCAAGTACAAACAATTTGCACATACAATGAAACAAGAAGTTACTTTTTCAATCTCTTTCATGGCTTAAATTAACATACTCTGCAATCTTCAACTAAGATTTATCGTAAAAATTCACGTTTCAAACTTTTCTGTATCTGATTTTACAAATACAAATAATTTATACAATAAAACAAGGACATACTTCTCGAGTCTCTTTTATCCCACCCTTCGTCGTTCTATTATACTGTCCACGATTCAAAGTACACTTTAAAATCTCAATATAAATTCACGTTTCGCGCAATTCAACAAAATTCTTCACCATTAAATCCAGCAGAACCGGAGAAAATCGATATCAAAAATTGACAATGGTTGTGCAATGTACCAGCCATTGTGCTTTCCTTCCTTCACGTACCTGTCTGTCGTTTCACCAGGAAAACGAATCGACACGTCTCCCTTGTTTCCGCTCCCTTTGCGACCGAACGGATCGTTTAATTACTCGTTTCGAGTCTGCGGTTCTCGATTTCGCTTTTTTACATTTCGTGCGTCGGACGTTGTTCCATTAAGCCGTGTCTTGGCGCGCAAAGGGACGCTTCCGGTTTAACTGTCGATTATTGCGGCCACGGTAAACGATAAAAGCAGGCATGCTTATCCAATTTGTCCACCGGTCGAGAAAAATCGACGACACTTGCGGCCAAATGGATTTTTTGCTCGGCAAACCCTCTGTGGTCCCTGTTCGCCATGTTTATTTCACTTCTTTTTATACCTTCATTCTACGTTTATTGTACATACGTGAAACACCAAAGAAATTCGTGTCATTTTGCAATTTTTTCTCGTCGACACTGTTGCGAAAAGTTTGGAAAATGTTGGATGGATTCATCCCTCAATGAACAATCTCGCTAGTTACTTTATCTTATGGTTAACACATAACTATACTCACCTTAAAGACAAGTCTGAATTTTTATCTATCTTGTCCGTCAAAATCTTTAACGGTTGAGTACCATAAAATGACACCCTATTACCATAGAAAATAATCACAAATTCACATAATTTTATATTGAAGAAGTATAAAACGGTGCTACACTCTCGTCCACACCTGCCGAATCGAAAGAATTAAATAAGGAAATTGATTATCTCTCTCACAGAAGTTGCTACCTAAGTATTAACAGATCCAACTATCCTCCAGAACAAACTAACCATTTCATCCTAACCCACAACGTGAATCCAACTTAACAGCAGCACCCCGAAAACTCTACACCACTTTCTCCCAAACTTTTCACCTGCAGCGTATATAACAGAGGAAAGACCGCACACACCGGAAGTGACATTTGCGTGTCGGTGGCACCGGCGAGCCACCGAAAATCGCAAATTCCAACCGCATGTTGTTATCGTGGCTGAGCAGGTGTCGTGCATAATTTCCCCTGCCACACAAATTGCCCCGGAGCGTAGGACACACGAGTGGGAGGAGAGAGAGGTTCTCCTCACGCTGGTCGTCCCCGAAAGAAGCGTTTCCTGTGCGCGTGAATCGTGCCGGATCACGATTTCCGGCTACGATCAGCCGCGCTCTATGCGTGTGATGTGTTTGCAGCGCATATATGAGAGAGAAAGGGGAAGATTTACGAGGCGCGTACGCGCGATCTGTCCGCAGAACGGACGTGCTAGCAGCGAGAGCAGCGAGGACGGAGCCGGAAGCAGCGCGAGTACCTCACGAGGAGCCGGAAGTGGATTTACCCTTGGAGGTGGATGCACCGGAGGATGGCGCAGCGTGTTCGGCGCCGTTTCTGGCAGAGAATTGAGGCTCTACGAGTGTGCACCCTGGAGCCCAGAAGCTTGGGCCTCGCCCAGTATCACGTGTCCATTAATCGCCACCAGGTAGGTGACATTCTTGTTTTTCTATTTTTTCTGAAAGTCTCGAGTGATGTTTCCGGGGTGAGTGGTAAGCTTTGGGACGAAAGATAAGTGTCCTAGAGTGAGGAGTATCTACTAATTTACTCGTCACTTCACCACTCACCCTATAGAAAAAACCTTTTAGAGAAACAACCTAGATTTTTGTAACTAGGATGTGGTACACGAAGGTTGATAGTTCTGAATTGATATTAAATGTTAGGTATGATATATACAAAGATCAGTGAATCTGAGGATTGATATTGAAGATAGTTTGGAGAGTCCAATCGATATTAAAGAAATTCGAGAAAGAAAAATAATTCTGATTGAATGAGGATCGAACCCTGGTAGATTTACTGGGAAGCGGGTACCCTGGCCGCTGCGCCAATACTGAAGCTGTTCTTTAGTGACGTTTTTAGTTATTTCAACTGTCTCCTTTGGCTGACATATCTTGATCTATACTACTGCGACTGTTTACCTTCTTATCTCTTTGATCTGCTATCGTCACACTTCGATATTCACATTTTTATTTCTTAATAACACACTTAGAGGTACCTTTCACATTTTTCCAATGCAAATAAATATACCACAAAACATTTCCAAATCTTTTAGCTCTTCCAATTTGTCAACCCTGTGTTCAAAGAGATACCAGTCATACCCAAAATCATCCGAAACTCACGCCAATCCTCAAGACAAACGTTCAGGAAGGATTGCAACGATCGATAGGCCGCGAATCGAAACGAATCCCGTTTTAGCTGTCCGCGCACGTAACGACGCCGCGATACGAATAGCCTCGACGCCCGTGTATAATAGTCTTAATTAAAATAGTGGTCTAACGAACACCGCTAACTGCGGTAATCCGACGTGCCTCATTGGTAATCCCCCAGCTATACCGGTGAACACGAATGCGTTATGTTGGCTAGCCTGCCGGTGGCACGATCGACTGGACCAGCCTCGTGGCTACGATATCGAGCCAGATTCTATGTTCTCTCCCTCTGTATTTACTCCTGCGTGTGTGTGTGTGTACGTTGGACGACGTGACACCTTCGCGGTTGTCTGTCCAGAGAATATCACTTGGATGATCGGTCGTGTCGAGTACATGTAATTGTTTCGTGGCTAGAACAGCGGAGACACTCTAGTTACATTCTTGAGATTGGTATTAGGTCTGGAAGAGTTCAATGCTACCATTTTGTACGGTGGAAAATTTCTTCTTCTTCCTTGGGAATTTTTGAGAGAGATAAATGTGAAGAAGGTACCTTAAGAGGTTCGATTTAAGGGCTGTTTTTTCGAATCATTATTTTAACGATTGATTGTTTCATATTTAATTGACGTTGAAGAGTAGAGACACCGAGTATTTTCTTGAGATTGGCATTAAGTCTGAAAGGATTCAGGTACCATTTTGTAGGTAAAAAATTTATTCTTTCAAATTTTTTGAGATGAAAAAAAGTGAAAAAGGAGATTTCTCTATTTTTTTAAAGTATTATTCTAACGATTGATAGCTTAGTATTTAATTGATATTGAAGAGTAGAGACACTGTGGGTATTTTCTTGAGTTTAGTATTAGATCTGAAAGGGTTCAATGGTACCATTTCTTCTTCCAAATATTTTGGGATAAACAGATGTGTAAAAGGAATTTTAAGAGGTTCAATTTAAAATCTATTCTTTTTTAAAGCATTGTTCTAATGATTTATAGCTGAATATCCAGTTCCTATGACTGTTTTATGTCCAGAAAAATGGAAACAAGCAGTGGGAAAGTGTGACTATTTCCTCAAGATTGCCATCGCTCGTAGAATTGTGCTTTATGGACTGTAGAATGCGTTTTGTGTGGCGGAAAATGTGTTCTACCACTTCTTCTTCTTCTCGGAGCTATTTGAGAAAGAAAGAGCGAAGAGGAAGAGGAAAGAATGGTAGTTTAAGTTCGAAGGTTCGTCTTGGGACCTATTTTCGTGCACTTCTTGGTACATGGGAATGGAAGTAAAAGTAGATAGTACCATTTCGAGAGGAAAGTGGCTTTCAAAATAGTGTAGTCTTCTTAAAAATGCAGCTTTCCTGAATCTTTCATCAGTTAGACAAAGTTGAATGTTCCTTTAATTAAGGAAAAACGATTTCCTCCGGAAGAAACAAGAAATTCCTCTTCGTCCGGTTGTTTTTAATGAAAATAGCAAACTTTGTTGCGCCTCTTTGATAAATCACAGAGCAAGATACAGTTATTATTCTAACGTAGTTCTCACGTAGAAAATTAATTACTCGAAGCGCGCAACGATTGCCAAAGTAGAAACGAGTTAATATTTCAAGAATAAATTCACCATTTCCACCAGACACGGAACATCGGGAATTTATAAACCGACCAACTTGGACAAATGAAATTTACCATCTGAAACACTCGTAAACGCGCAAATTCATAAGGCAAATTAAAGCAGCGGCAAAGAGCAATCTTGCTAATTCCTCAGACGACAGAATAATCCATCAATGGAGGATCGATTGACTTTACTAATTTCACTTTGATAATCCTTCAATCCGATTCCTCCGCTTCTAAAGCGATTTTATCTACTCAGAGGCGTCCCTCCTCGTAATGTTCCCGGTTTCGAAGCGAAACTAAGAGATAGGTTGATAAAAATGTGCTCTAAATGAAACCGGGGCCATTTTACACTTTCGACAAACACCCTTTGTGGGCATTTTCGCAAATTGCTTTTAAATCAACCCTCTGAATTCTCCTTCGCCGCTGTAATCGTTTCAAAGCGCGCCTTTTTAACGAAATCTCCAACTATCAGAGGCGGCAAATACATCACACGGGAGTACAGTAGATCCGAGGTAAACGTGGCTGGATTTGATTAAAAATTCAAACTTCGACGAGTTAAATTCGAAAAGTCGCGAAGAAAATGGAATCGCACGAACCACGGAAAATCTCTAGAGGAATCACTCCTCGATGTAAACTCAACGCGAGTTAAATCACGTCAATTCTGTCGTAAATTTTTCTCCGACTAATTTTTGAAAAATTCTTTAATTCGTCGTTCCGTTAAAGCGTTCCATTAAACCGTCGTAGCGAAAATCGGGGATTAAATTAAGGCAGAAGTGCGCAAAGGGCAAAAATCAAGAAATAAATTAACACAAAAGTATGCCAAAGATGAAAGAATCGAGGATTAAATTAAGGTAAAAGTGCGCAAAGGTCAAAAACCAAGAACTAAATTAATATAAAACTGTGCCAAAGATAAAAAAAATCACCAAGGACGCAGTGTGAGACAATTTTCAGAGCTTCTGTAGGCGCAAAAACCGGAGAAAGGGTTGAAAGCTCTCGACTTAGTTATTGGATATTAAAATTAAATTAGGATTCGGTAATTTTCCTATGAAACCCTGCATAAGAGACACAACAATTTGTCGAGCCGCGGTTGGCGATGGCCGAACGAGGGACGTAAGATAGAAACCGAGGGAAAAGAGACGCGAGAATGACCGCATTCTCCGGAATTGGATTTGGCCGTGGGGGTGCTCGCGATCCGGAAAGTTAATGCAACCGGGGCCAAGGGAGCAGCCACGCCGGACAGGAGCGTGTGGTTAATTCTACGCTAGCATGGAAACGGTGAAAGGAGAAAGCGATCCTCCAGGCTGTGTTTACCTCAAAGGGAAGCCGAAAATACTAGAGAAAGCATCCCTACTTCCGCGATGTAACCACTTTTAGGAAATCTTGACAAATCCGCTTCGAGATTAAAATATGTGTTCTGCTTCGGTTCTGTTTCCTTTCACCAAATACATTCGAAGATCGTCCTTTTTTCACGCATATATTCTAGCATATCATTTGGGATTAGAAATTTTTTTTGTAATCTGTTGGATTATTACTAATAATAATGCGTCAACCAGTGAAAATAATATAATAGACCAGATGTCATCAGACCCATAGGCCTGTAACTGTTTCTAACCTTTTTTCTTTTTTTTACGTGGGGAAATCCTCATGGACGCTCCGCCCCCCAGGGGAGGGGGCGGGGTAGTGTCGAACTCTTACGCACTCCGGGAGTGGGCCCGGGATCTCTTACGAACGGACCACGCTGGCGACGCCCCCACCGCGGGCCGCGTGCAATGGGCTGCCGAGTTCCCCCTCCACAGCCCTGCGGCCCCGGGGAGCGCCCAGTCCCCCGTCAAGGAGGCGGGGCCCTCCCGCGCGGGCGGCCACCAAACCGGAGCCCGGTGGGAGGAGCAGTGCCTCCTCCTCCGGGCCCATGCACTCGGGTTCCTCGGGGTCGTGAACTCCCGTACCGCGACCGATGGAAAAAGTCAGTCGCGGCCCCTGAGGTCTCTACCTAAGGGACCTGAGTAAAAGGCTGAGGCAGTCCTGGTCTGTTTTACTCAAATGGACAATAGACTTTCTGTCGTGCCCTTACGAGTTTTTCACTTTCACTTTGACTGCCATTTTCTAAGCGTTAAGACGTCCTTCCGCGCCAAAGAAATAAAATACGTTTAAGTAAATTCACAGTGAACGCTATTTATTTAACCCATTAATCCAGTATAATCTTTTAGTTCGTTGCGTGAAAGAAATTGAAGTGAAGACCAATGATTCTTTTTTTTTGCAATATTTCTTCTGTTTATTTATAAAGTTATCAATCAGCTGATTACCTGCCCCGACATTCTATCAGAATTACAACTCTTTATGGGAAATTTAACTCCTTAAATCGTTTATGCACCAACGCGAACCAATTTTCCAATAATCTCAATTTTTTCGGGATTTATCTATCGTTTAAGCACTCTGTTCTAACCGCTGTAAATAATCCTTAATTCACTCTTTGTCCTGCGTGTTATTCTGTTATTTTTCTGTTTTCTCATTTTATTCTATTTTATTTTATTTCATTTATTTTTCTTTTTCTCTTCTTTATTTTGGACTGTACATTATACTACTGCTCTGTGTGAATTTCAACGCCTGTATACTAAAGGGTACATAAACCCGTTGATTAACAGTCAAATAAATAAATAAATATAGAAGAAGGAAGCAAAAGTATTATAATT